TAATTTTTATATATTTGGTATTACCGTGCTGCTTAAGACACAAAGAAAAGAGATAGTAGTAAACCAAGCTATGAATGATAAAATAAATAGCTATGAATGATAAAATGAATAAATATAAATTTACGGCTCTTATAATAATAGTATCAAAATAGACAATGATGAACGTAATGAACGTATTATAAAGAGGACCTATATTCTCGTTGAATATAAAAATGTTATTCTTTATCTACAATGGTAATAATTTACTGCAAAAACGCACTTTTTGAGTTTTCCACTTAGTTGTCTAACTGAAACTAATGTCCGGTAGGACGACGAGCAACACGGCACACATCAAATAGGATAAAATAAATAAATGTAGGAATCAGAAAAATTGAGATAAATAGCGATACATTATTATATCCCGACACTTCGCAAAATGGCACGTGTATGTACGATGCGCCGCAGTATAGAAACGTGTGCGCGATGCACCACCCTTCCTGGCCCACATTTGCCGCTGCACAAGGTTGCGCGTTCCACATCGAAATCAATAAGCGGAAGTAGGTTCTATATTCGGTCTTTCTGTATTACGCTAATATACATCGATTAGTTCTTCGCTTGACGTTTACGCAATCCTAAATCAATTTCTATTAGAAATGGTAAATCGCCAAACAATCGCGTATATAAATTATATCCAATTTTTCTTCCAGTTTGATTGTACAAATTAATTGATTTTAATGCTATCGTAAATAATTCGTAACTATTTGTTATTAAATGTTTTTAATCTTCGTAGTTCCAGAAAGACATTCTTGAGAAATTATATTCTAAAGAATTATAAGAAAATTAGAATATTCGTAACAATTATAGATGTATTCCTATATATTCTCTATCAATATTATTTTGCTATTTATAATTGAAACTATGTCTTGATGAAAGCAAATGTGACAAAGTAAAACTTATATAAACTATATTAAACTATAATATGAGATAAAATATATTATTTAACATTCTTATCATTGTTAACGAATAATTAAAAAAAAACAAAAAAAATACACATATTTTACATATAAAAAAGAACGAAAATATTATGATAAAAATGCATACATCAAAAAGATATAAACATATGTTATTATTGTAAATTATTATATTATCTTAGAATTTGGCCAAAATCTCATTAGAATATTACAAATGGGGTATTAGGTGTACAAATAAGTTCGGTGTTTTTTTAGTATGATTTTGATGTTTATTTATAAATAACGAAAAACATGTTAATTTATTAAATAGTCTACATTATATTCCACACTTCAATTATCTTTCGGGCAATTGCTGAATCCCGTTTTACAACTCATAATAAAGAATATCTTTAAAATCATATTAAATATATAATAACACTTTTTTATAATAAATATTCATGAATTTAGCAGTACTTATTAGTAGCTCATCCGGAAGAACTCATCCGGATTGTCGTACAATACCCACTTTTTATCCCCAATTACAATTTTATTAAAAAAGTCCTTTTGTTTGATTCGTGAAGCAAGGACATTGCTATGTCACAACGTCTCACTTTGTTTTCGGGGCTGAGAGGACATAAGAAACCCAACGATCTGTCTTCTGTATTCTCCCAAGTTTCTTTAAGCGAATAGAGATAGCTTGTTGAGTTGCATCAAGTTTCTTAGCAAATTTCTGCTACGTGTGACAAGAATTTTTGTTCAATAACTGCTTTAATTCTTCGTCCTTAATTTTTTTTCGGCATTCCACTACGTTTTGCATCAGTAAGATCAAAATTGCCACTTTAAAAATTTTAAAACCACTTTTTGTACATTTTATGTGTCACAGCATTTTCACCTAAAGCAGAACAAATCATTTCAGCAGCCTCAACAGTATTTTTATTAGTACACGAAAGGAATGCAGTGCCTAATATACTTTTTCTGAAAAACAAACTACTTTTTCTTAAGGTTATATCGCAAGCAGAGTCAAATTATATGATGCGTTTAAAAAATTAAACACTTCAAAACGGTTCAGAACGGCGGTAAAGATTAAGTTCAAAATGACTCAAAATGGCGGGAAAAAATATTAATTTAAAACAGAATTACAATTGATTGAAATTAAAGGTACCGAACTTATTTGTATACGTAATAATTGTATTTTACTTTCCGTATCTTGGTTGTTTTTACAATTTTTCTTTGGCATTACAATCAGGTATATTACGTTGAAATATTTTACTGTAGGCATTCTTCTTTATATTAAAATCTGTGCTACGATAAACCGCGAATATCTCGGTTAAAATCACGCCGTGAGACGTGAAAATAGATATAAGACTACATATATCGTATTTATATATACATTACTTTTGATTTAGCAATATGGCCGCAGTGGGTATTTTCTCTCACCTCTCTGACTTCACTCCCCGCGTCCATTAAGGCATTTTATCTCCCTCTATATATTTCTATCTCCACGGGCTTCTAAAGAAATTGTGTTGCTAGATACGACCGTTTTTTCAATGGCGCATCAATAGGAACAATTATAAATCTATTATTTCTTAACTATAAAATTACATTTCTATATATCTATTTCCCTATCTAATTATTACTGTTATTTTGAAACGAAATTAAGATATACATACAGGATCCGACCGAATAACATGTAAAAGGCCGGCAGGACACGATTTCTTATGAAAAAAATAAGAAAAAATGTAGAATATAATTTTTTTATTTTCGGCTTAATTTTGGAGAAAATCGAGTTTAAAAATACGCTGCCTACGTATGTTATTACGGCTAAGCTATGATTCGTCGGGTGACATATAGTACTTATAAAGTGTTTATAAACAATGTTTACACGATATCAAGCTATTAGGATTAAACACAAAAAAGTTTGAGCGGACAGAATTCTATTTTATCAATTACAATATTGCTAGAACTGTTGTTGTTGTTCTCGTTGTCGTCCCCAGATCTTACACACTTACAAGGGGAACACGAGGGGACTGCTCCGGGGATTTTGAAAGATTATTTATTTAATTATATTGATATATTTTTCTTGTAAATGAAATTAAAAAATTTTTAAATAATTATTGTAATAATTTGAAAAATCTGAATAAAGAAATATTAATATCTTTATAAATTTCATTTTAATTTAATGTTACTAATTTTTATTACTATTTGATTCTAATCAAATTTTATAAATTTACAAATTAGTAAATAATTAAATATTCATGTATAGAATAATTATTATTATCGTCGTCGTTGTTGTTATTCATATGCACATATAAATAAAGATGTAATAAAAACGTGAGTGATCACGAGCGACGAAAAATTTTATAATAATTTTCTCAAATAATATAGGATCGTTAAAGAGTGACATGTCGGCACATGCTTCATAACCTTTGTTTATTATTGCGTGATTGATAAGAAAAAAAAGAAAAATAAGACAACAAATAAGAGAACAAATTATCTACTAATTTGAAAATTTATAAACTTTCATTGCAATAAAAAAGTAATAAAAATTAATAACATTAAATTAAAATGAAATTTATAAAGATAATCATATTTCTTTATTCAGGTTTTTCAAATTATTACAATTATTCAAATATTTTTAAATTTCGTTTAAGAAAAATATATCAATATAATTAAATAATCTTTTTTGTGTATATCTACAATAATATAAATAATTACAGATAAGAACAAATTTTTAATAAAAAAAGAATGCACGAGACGAGATTTGAACACGTAACCTACCGCGTACGAAACCAACGTCTTACCTACTGCGCTACCGCTGCTACTGTTCAATAATGACGATCGAATGTGTCAAGTATGCCGCGGCCGACTAGAATCATTTTTAAAAATCGATTTCTTCGAAACTATGGTCCATTGGCTGAAACAGCCGGACACGTATCATTTTTTTTCGCCCAAGAACAACCTGTAAAAAGCGCAACAAAATCTCCGGAGCAGTCACCTCGTGTTCCCTTTGTTAGACTTTTATTTGTGGGGGCATGTTAAAGAAAAACTGAAAATATTGAGAGTCAGGACCAATTAGTACAAGCAATTAATTACGCGTTCGAGGAATTAAAAAAACAAAAAATACGTTGCCGTGGGTTCAGGCATCGATAATTAGATGGGCAGAGTTATGTATCCGACAACGAAGACAACAGTTCCAGTAACACTGTAATTATTAAAATAAAATTCTGTTCACTAAAAATTTTCTTTGTGTTTTTCGTTAACCTTAATAGCTTTTAGATATTGTGTAAACATTGTTTATAAACACTTTATAAGTGCTATATGTCACCCGACGATATCTTAGCCGTAACAGCATACGTAGACAACATATTTTCAAACTCAATTTTTTCCAAAACTAAGCCAAAAATCAAAATTTTATTCTATATTTTTTTTCTTATTTTTTCATAAGGAATCACGTCGTGCCGACTTTTATACTTGTTATTCGGCTAGACTCTGCATATATATAGTAAAACTGCATAAAAGGTAATACACCACCGATTTTTTTCTTTTTGAAATATGTTATACAGAATGAAATTCTCTGAGTAACTTTTTTCTGTACAATTATACAGGGATCGCATAGTTTCGGAGATATTTGACTTTAAAGTTTTAAGAGCGTACATGTTATAAGTGGGTCATCGAACTCTGTCTAAACACGATAAATTTTAGTTACGAGAGCTGATTTTACAAACAACAGGGGCAACTATAGGATCTTCAATAGCTAACATTTTTATGGACAATATCCAACTATATATATATTTCGAAATACACAATATCCAAAATCCAAAATATTTCTCTGAAATCTCATACGTATTTCAGATATGTGAATGACACTTTCGTGTTTTGACAACATGGCAAGGAAGAACTCTGGAACTTTCTGCATTTCCTTAATACAAAGCATTTTAATATTACCTTAACAATGGAAACGGAACAAGATAAACTCCTCTTTCTGGATGTCCTACTCACAAAAAACCAGACGGTTCTCTTAGACACCAGATCTATGGCAAACCCAACACATTAACCAATACCTTCACGCCATCACATCATATCAGTATTTATCATAAAAATTGTTAATCCTCGATTCTCTAAAGTACAAACTCTTCACAACCTGTGACTAGAACAACATAAAAAATAAACTCAAGGAGTTAAAGAACACTCTTTGACACGAAACGGATATACAGGGTGTACAAAAAGTTCCGGATCCCTAAATTTTTTCGAAAAATAAGCATTTTCGAAAGAAATATTTTAGTTTGAAAAAATTTTTTAAACAAAAGTTGTTTGTTTCTTTACGCAGAATAAAATTCTGTAATAAAAAATAAATGTTTCTATATAAAAATAAATGTTCTATATATAATACAGCACGTCGAGTCACATATGGAGTCTTGCGCATGAAGAAATAGTTAAACGGTGGACACCAGAACGGATGCATAGTTTGCTATAACAAAAATTTGATAAATTATTCTTAATCTGCATTAAATTTGTTAAAGAAATACATGTCCGATTAAAAAAATATTTAAAATTTGTAACGATATACTTGGGGCTACGACTCGCCTCGCCGAACACCGCGACAAGCGATCTCTCAGCGCGCCCTCCGCACACCGACCCGTCGTACATCCGCGACAAGCGCCGAAAACGTATTATAAGATACAATAGGAAATCAAAGCGAACATCGAATAGAAAACGAAGGCGAGCGATAAAAATCGTCGACAACCAGCGATTAGAACCGAAAGAACCCGAAGGAGCAAAGAAAACAGTATATAACGCGAGCAAAAGCGAAGCGAAATCAGATCATACTCGACTCGTCTCCAATTCGGCAGACATACCGAGAACCACTCTCAGCTGTGGATTCGTAGCATCCTTTCCCGAACTAAACAATTAGTTTGGCCGGGGATACTCGGCACTTCGCCTTTCCGCTACGAACTGCTTACACAGTTCGGCCGGAGATATTCGACATATAGAAGTGAGTAATAAATATAATAACGAAGAAATCCAGAAAAAAATTATTGGAAATAACGATAATATATGGTACTGTTGATTGGGGCATATCAATGACAAATATACGTAGAGACTGATAAAAGAAAAACTTGCGATAGGAATTAATAATAATATAAGAAATGTTGATTGTGAAACGTGTAAAACGTGCAAATTGACTAAGAAGCCTCATAAAATAATAACGTACGATCAAAATACACATTAGAGTTACACAACAACATATATGGACCGATGGCGGTAGAGTGAATTGGAAAAGCACGTTACATATTGTTAATAGTTGATAACTATAGCGGTATGTACTTCATTTATTTTCTTAAAAGTAAGAGCGATGTACTTACTACATTTAAAAATTTTAAAGAAAGATACGAGAATATGTTAAGGGAAAATATTAAGTATATCCGTACTGATAATGGTACTGAATTCATTAGTAATGAATTTCAGGAGTACATTAACAGAGAGGGTATAGAATATCAAAACATTATCCCATATAACCCAGAGAGTAACGGATAGGTTGAAAGAGGGAACCGAGTAATTCTTGAACGTGCACGTACATTATTATACGAAGCTGATCTGCCATTATATTTTTGGGCCGAAGCAATTGCATATGTTACTCCGACAGTTAACCTCTAGAAAAAATAAGGACACATAAAGACACTATATGAACTCTGGAGCGGTAAAAAACCTAATCTCAGCTACTTAAGGACCATAGGATGTTTTGCTTACTACCATATTTCAAAGAATGCACGTAATAAATTGCAACCTAATGAAGGAGAGCTTTGATGTTAGGATATTCAAGAGAATGAATTGATTATCGCTTGTATGACATTGAACGTAATCAGATTACTAAGGAACGTAGCGTAATTTTTGACAAGACTGTAAAAGGCAGTTATTATTTAACCCCTTAGCGACGGCACTATTTACCTTGAATATGCTCAGACGACGGAAAATAAAAGCTTTTCGAAAATGAATAAAAGTTGATATAGGGATCGTTTTGATGGTGCTAATGAAAAATTTTCAGTCAAATTGCAAAAACTTTATGTCATAAATTCAAAATGGTGGCAAATAACATTGGCCAGAAAAGATTTTGTTGCCAGAGTCATTGCCAATAGTTGTGCGAATAGTCATTTCCGATGTATTTTTGCCTGTTAAGCATGAATCCGTCGTCCAAATTTGCCTACCAAATGACTTTTGAGAAAATGACGTCAAAGAGGCCAAATATATGGATTTTAAGAGTTTTTATAGTCTTATAGCATCGGCAGCAAATTTTTTTATATACATTTTCTGAATTCTACATAAAAGTATCAACTTTTAGCTTTAAAATGTATTTTGTTTCATTTTGGTATAATTTTTCATTTTTTCCATTAGTTTTGTTGCTGTGTTCATTATTAAACTCTGTACACTAAGGTTCTTAAGTTGGAGGTACCCGGAAACCCAACGGATATTCAAAACAGCGTATATTATTATGTTCAGCAGGCCCAAGAATCTCTATATATACTTCGCTTCAATTATAAAATCATGTACAAGCTCTAATATAACAAAATATCTCATAATGAGAATATGCGAAAAATTCTGATTTTTCTACCAGCTATATCTTTTTTAAGCAAAATTTCGCATATCGTATTAAAAAATCGTATTCAGTAGACCTTAAAACCCTTAGATACACTTCACTTCAATGATAAAATCACTTAGAGACTTTAATATAACAAAATATCTCATAACGAGAATCTTGAAAAATTCGTAAAATTTTCTAATAGCCATATTTTTTAAAAATTATATTTAATTTGGCAAATCGGATTGAAAAATCGTGTTTAGCAGACTTCAAAAGCTCTAGATACATTTCACTTCGACGATAAATTTACTTAGGGGCTCAAATACAACAAAATGTTTTCCATGACGAGAAAATGCGTTTTTGCCGTATTCTGAGCAAAGTTGAAAATGACGAGAATTCTCGTCATCCGTCGCTAAAGGATTAAGAAATGACAGATTAACAAACAACTGTACAGGTTGGAACATTGAAGATTTTTTTAATGTTCTAAAAGATAATAATACGATTAATAAAAATGGTAAAGATACGGATATATAATAGAATACAGAGGACAAAATGTTAGCGATAACGGAGACAATACAGTAGAACCAAATGTAGAGTGTAAAAATGACATACAATTAAATGTAGATAGAGCTCAAAATATGAATGAGCGTAGAGTAGGTAAATCAAAAGCCAGTACTAAAGAAAATATTTTTAAGCGAAAACAAGAATATTTAAAGGAAAGAGGAAAAATTAATAAAAGAAAGTGTAAAGTAAATGTACCAATGAGTAACTATGCCCCAGTACCTGACTATTGATGCAAATATCAATTTTAAATAAGCCAAGTTTTTTTGAATGCCAAGTACGAACAGGATTTAGAATTTTTAATTTTATTTAGTTATTCGTATATTTTAAATCATGTCAACAGATTATTTAGTTTAAGCTATTGTTTTAATTCTCGCCATCAGAGATGGACTGAGATTGGAGAGATTTTTAAAGATTCTCCTAAATCATAAGTTATATTTCCTAAGGAGATATGCATAATAATATTTGTTTTCCCAACGTATATGAAAAATTTATAGAATCTTAAGGACATTTAGAACAATGTAAAATCATAATATAATTCATTCAAATATATTTTTGAACAAAAATTTGCTTGGCTATATATCAGTACATGAAATATTTGCTCGACTAAAAAATAACCGACTAAGTAATTATCGGACAGGCGTACTTGCTCGTTTGTCCGAGTACACGCACCGGCGTTAATGCCGTCCGAATATCCGTGTGACTCGCACACGATAACGCGTCACTCATACACTGCTGCGTGTAGGTGAGCCAGGAGCAGCACGGAGTGGCGGAGGGAGCTAGCGGTATACGATCGTCGGACGCTTGGAGAGGGAATAGTGGTGGGAGTCGCGGCGATCTTCCATCCTCTATCGCAAACGTAAGAACGAGAGAAATAGCATTATAAGACGTCTGGACAGAAATGCCGTCCTAAAATACGTGTGACACACACTAAGAAAACGCTTGACTCACACTGTCTCGTCTA